AAGAACAAGGCTGCCTTTCAGACATTCATTGATTTTAAATTAAAAAGTAACTGCTATGTTCTACATGAAGGGTGACAACAATAACAAAGTAGTTCTTACTTAGTGTTATTTGTTACAACTCTATTACAGGTGCCTCAAGGAAGAAGGGGGGTGGGGACTGAGTCTAGAGTACCTTAATCTTATTGATCAATAATCCAGATATCTCAATGCAGTGTAACAGATAATCAATTCTTGGTAAAATTACTCAAACACAGCTGGAGCTGTTGCTCCTGTGGCTTAGGTCTTCAGGTTCAGCAGGCTACTTTATTAGTTTCTATATTTCATCCTTCTTGCGTTCTTGTCCATTAGCTCTACATAGCAATATTGCAGGGAAAATCAAATCCAAATATCATTCTTCCTTTTCTTTCTTTCTTCCTTCCTACTTTCCTTGTTTTCCCTTCTTTCTTTTTTCCTTTCTTTCCTCCTTTCTTTCCTTTGCATCCTTCCTTTTTGGACAAGCATTGCTAAGAGTAGTTGTTGTTGTTTTCTTGTCTAGAAAATATGGATGGAATATATTTGATTATAAAAGAAAGTAATGTCAGTGGCTAGTATGCATTTACACTGTAAATGCCCTGTCAGCTGTTTTAATAAACACTTCATTCAAATTATGTAATTCTCAATTTTTTTGTCATTTAGACTGCTAAACAAAAGTGTATCTTTTGTAGTTTCTAGACAAACTGCATTTTCTAATCAAGTTAATAGTGAAAACAAAATATTTACTTAAAAGAACTGCATTCAACCACTTCTGAAAAATTCCTTTATTTTGTAAATAATGGTATATAAGCAAAAGCAGTATTGTTCAAGCTTGTGTTTGGAGTATACTAATTTCAAATTATCCTTATTTTTTCATTAAAGGAGACCTCTACTGGGCAATATTTCACTAGCAACTAGGTTAAGTTATTTTTAAAATAGGAAAGCTATTTTTTTTAATTCAAATTTTCATTGATTCAAACTAACTTTTTTTCCCTACGTGGTCTTTATTAGTAAACTTTTCCTTTGTATTTTTCTCTAAGTACATGTATTTGAAGTGTTGAAATATATGTCTTGTTTTCCTGTCCAGACTGTTTTCTTAGGACACACTCTGAATATTATGATTTCTTTGTGTACCTCATAGTACTTAGTAAAAGTAGTACTGTGTACCCCCACTTGTATCTGTGTACCAAATTCTTGTTGAGTGAATTATGTAACAACCACGTAGCTTAGCAAATTAACTTGTACTTTCTTAAAACAAATGTCTCATTTTTAAAATTCTCTTCATAGCTTTATTTTAGTTAATGGTTCTGTTAACTGTTTAGTTAACTCATTTTAGTTAATGATTCTAATAATAAGGTAGCTTACAGTGTTCTTACAACAAAAATATTTGTACTTTTATTCAGTTTTTTTAAATTGACTCTGTGTTACATGATATGCCGAAAAAAACCAGCCTTACTCTGTATTTGAAAGGTGAAGAATTCATTATTCAAGTAGTTTTATCTGTCATATATGATATCCCTATCAGATCTGTGATAAATGAAATAACCTTTTTTGAGTTCTGAGTTTATTTTTTTCCCTGATTTAACCAGTCATTTTTAGCACTATATGTAGACACAGTCTTAAATTGCATCTCTTTAAAGAACATTTCTTTAAATCACTGTATGGGACCATAGTGATTATTGAGTCCAGGGGTTCTTCACCTAGGATCTATGAACTTTAAAAAATTATTTTGGTAACTGTATTTCAGTATCATTGGTTTCCTTTATAATATTATGCATTTTATTTTATCCATTTAAAAGCATAATTCCAAGGAGGGGTCCATATATTTTACCAGAGTCCCATGATGCCCCCCCAAAAAAAGTCAAGATCTAGTATATTCCCTTTACTTTATAGAAGAGACAAACAAGACCCAGAGAGTAAAAGTGACTTGACTTTCTGTGACATGGGTAGTTTTCTTTAAACATAGATATAACTATAACATTTTTTAGTCTAGAAGTTTGGTTAAAATAATAAATCAGACAATTGATTATATTATTTTAGAGCTTGTATTGTATAACCATTGTCACTGTAAATTAGAAATTGCAAGGTATTAAATTAAATATTTTTAAAAAGTTTTTAGCAGTTATATTTAAAATATTACTTGGATTCCCCCAATAATGAAACATGAAAATCCATATGATTATATTCAATTCTTAACCAAAAGCCATTGTAAACAATATTATCCTCTGGTCAATAAAAATCATCCATTCAGAAGTCATTTGGGCTTCTGTCTACCTCATAGCAGATTGTCTTAAATTACAGATAGAGGAAATTCTTGTTCAGGGCTAGGTTTGAGTATATGGCTACCAGGTCACTTTTTATGTCTGAGATCCTGTTTCTGTGATCTTAAAGTATACATAAATTACCATGCTTTTGCAAGATGAGGACATTTTATTGCTAAAACCTCAGAGAAATGGAAACTTCATTTTTAATGAGTGAAACTCCAAAAATATCTGCAATTAACATTATGCATAAAATACTTATTATTAATTTCTTCCTAAATATATAAATTGACATTTTTTTGTTCTTCAATTTGCACACCTTTCTTATTCTTTTTTCTTTTTTTTCTTTTGAGAGAATCTTTTTTTTATGAGGAGGCATTATTTCTTACAAGTGAAAAAGATGCAGCCCAGACATCATTACCTTTTTCATTGCAGTAAGAATGTTCATGTAGAACAATGTGAAGTGAGAGTTGGGATAATTCATTTAATATGATCAGCTTACTTATTCTGATATATCAGTTTGGCTGCTTACACCACCTAGATTAACCAGATAGGTAATCAACCTTCCCCTTATAAACATAATCTAAGGAACACCCCAGTATTGTCAAAGTATTGTATAGTTCAGTCAGTCATTCCATCAGTAAACATTTATTAAGCACCTACTATGTGCCAGACACTGTACTAAGCACAGGTGATACAAAAAGAGGCAGAAAATAGTCCCTTTCCTCAAGAAGCTTACAATATAATGAGGAATATGATAAGAGCAAATATGTACAGGACAAATGGGAGAAAATTAACAAAAGAAAGGCATGAGACTTAAGAAGGGTTAGGAAAAGCTTTGCTTCCAACTAATTTGTAATCACCTTTACTCTTAGGCAATACAGCCTTAAATGTAACCTAAATCTCTCAGTATTTCGAACCCATTTCCTCTAGATAAATCCATTGTAGAGATAGAAATTAATTGGACATATTTCCATTTATAATATCTTCACACGTATTTGCATAGGTTTTGATTTCCTCTTAACATTTTCTTTTGGACAGAATTCCAAATTGTGTGCTATGAAAACTAAGAGCCCCTCAAAAAAATGCTAGGAGTTTTTTGCAATTAAGTTTGGTTCTTTTGCAAAAGTGTGACAATTTATATTTATTTTGTGATCAGAGGAAAACAGAATCTCAGAGTCCATCTATTCCAACCCATACTGAACAAGAATTCTATTAGCCTTTTGCCTGAAAACTGCTAGTAAGAGGGAATCCACAACTTTCTGAAGCAACCATTCCATTCTGGGATAACTGATTATTAGTAAAGACAACATAGTATAGTGGATAGAAGAGTGATCTTGTAGTCAGTAAGGCCTGCTTTCAAGTCGTGCTTCATTCACATACTGGATGCATGACCAAAGTCACTTTACTCTCAATGCCCTGTACTGCTCTCTAAGACTGTCACTTCCATAGGAGTTGCCAGTCTGTATTGAAAGAGTTTCCAAGTCAGCCCTGCTCTCATGCTGATAAAATTACAAATCTATGTACACACACACACACACACACACACACACACACACACACACACACACACACCAGAAAAATTGGTAGAAAGCTAAATCTGACTCACTGCAACACCTACCCTATTCTTCCTAGTTCTTTCATCTAGAGCAAAGCTGAAAAAGACTGGTTACTCATCTAATTATTCTTTCTGAAAAAGGGGTTAGGGAAGAATAAAATGAGATAATAATTATGAAGTATTTGGTACAGTGTTTGGCACATAGTAAGGCACTATATAAATGTTAGTTGTACATATTATTTTTATTATTATTTACATATCTTGCATGTACCTAGTTATTTACATATTATCACCACTGTTAGACTATATACTCCTTGAAGGCAAGGACTGTTTCCATCTTTCTTTATATCACCAGTGCTTAGCACAGTGTTTGGAACATAGTAAACATTTAATAAATTTTTGTTGACTGAGTAGGCCTCAAAGATGCAAAGGGGAAAAAAAGGAATGTTTTTAAGTTTAGCATGCAAATAATAGACAATTTAATATTTTTTTTTAAAAATGAATTGAAAACATCAGACATCATAGTAGAATGCTAATTTCTTGGCTAGTACCCACGTTTATCCTTACAAATCCAGCTTTTTCCTGAAAGCAATACCAGTAGCACTGACATTCAACTTACATCCCCTTACCTGGCCGGTGAACTATTAACTTAAGGCTTCTCCTAGTTCAGATTAAAAGAGGGAACATTACAATTTTCCTTATGTCTCTTTCAGCTGTTTTAAACAAATTCCCTGTTGCATAATATCCTAAAAGAAATTGATCATGCTTTTCGTGTAATAAATGTTGTTCTGACAGTAAGGCATTAGTAACCAATTGATAACCTAGCAACAATATTGTGATCTCTTTAGATAATTAATCTTAGCTATTTTCCTGTCAGAAGCAACAGTGTTTGATTTTATGTTGACCTAGAAAGATTGCCAGTTTTGAAAATTAAAAAGCATTCCTTTTATATTATTCATTCCAGTAACAATTTATGATGGCGCATTTAGCTGCTGAACGCTTGTCAACAAACGTAATTATGTTTCGATATAAACAAGATTGGTGGCTTTACTATGCAGCTTCATCTTTGTTGAGAATGTTTTGATTTAGGTTCAGATTATACAAGCTGTGTATTTATGTGTCATATTTTTCCTCCTTTGTTAATAGTTTTCTCTGATAATTACTTATAGACAAACAAGTATGCATTTAGGATCCTTGTGCATGGGAGATATCAAACGGAGAAGAAAGGCTGCACCCTTGCCTGGACCTACTGCAACAGGTAAAATGAATTTTTTTAAGACTTAAGTATTTAAAAGTTATACATTCACAAGAATCAAAATGTAGTTAATTCTCAGTTACCTCCACAGGAGAAACAATATATTTACAGCAAATCAAGAATAATACCAAATAATGTTACTAAAAATCTTTCACATTTGGTTTTAGAATATATTTGTTCATCCTTAATCACCAGAACTTTCCTTAGTTAATCACTAAATAATAAATCAACAAATATTTACTAAGTAATAGGCATACCAGGCATTATAGTAGGTGCTGTGGAAGAATAAAAGTCCCCTCCCAGAGTTTGCTGTTTAATTGGGAATATAAAGTTTAAACATATGAATAATTAAATAACAGTAAATACAATTATCCATCACAAAGCAAAGTACAACATATCCTGGATTAGGAAAGAACACTGGATTATAAGTCTAGAAAGCTGCAATCTCATTCCCACCATGCAATTAGTGAGCTTAGTCAAATCTTCTTTAGACTTCAGATTCCTCATTTATAAAATGAAAAGTTTACAGTAGATGAACACTAAGGTCCTTTTCAGCTCTGTAATTCTAGTTCCATGCAAATGAATGGTATTGATAACAGACTTGAAAGGAAGGATAAATCAGTATGGACCAGAATGTCTTCATGGAAAATGGCAGGATTTGCTATATAGACCTTAAAAGATGAGTGCCTAATTTCTAAAACCAGATCCCACACCAACTTATATCTGAGGGACAGATTCAAAGATCATACTGGGTATAAGAGGGAAATTAACCTAGGATTATGATTTTGCCAGAGTTTACAATTGACATATGAATTATATGTGAATAATAAAAGTTAACTAAAATATATTGGCAGTACAACAAATTAAGAATCTGAGAAAATGTTTGTAAGGCAGGCAGTCAGTTGTAAAGAAAATATGTTGTTTACTGACAAAGTTTCTAATGTTTCCATTATCATTTTTATAACTATAATGCTTATATTTAAGAGATCCTATATTTGTCAGTTAAACTGTTCAGAAGGAAAAACATGTCAGTACATATATATATATATATATATATATGTTTCTGTTTGTCATGACTGTTGACACTGTATGGAATGATTTCATGTATAACTATACCTGTATATGTGTATATATTTGCATCTATATATACAGAAATATAAAGCTAAATATTTATAGAATCACTGTTAGATTTAGATCTAAAGGGTTCTTAGAGATCATCTAGTTTCACCTCTTCTTTTTAGAGATATAGAAATTGAGGTTCCAAAAAGTACAATGACTTTTCCAACGTCATAAAGCTAGTTATTGGTAGAGCCAAGACTGGAGCCAGGTTTCCTCCACAATGACTCTTGCCATATAACCCAATATGTGTGAAAATGCTACAATTAAATTCAGTCTTTTAAAAATTAGTGTACCAGCTATGTACTTTGATAACCTCGTGATAGAAGCAATAGTTTCATAGATAGACATCAATTCAAATAATTCTTTAAGTCAGTATTTTGCTGAATACCTTCATATTCCCATTCCAGGTGAGTAGTCCCCTGAATTCCTTTATCTTTCAGTGTTTTGAACATTACTGACAGAAGCTGACCTATATCAACCTCAGGAATGCTGCTGATGCACCTCAGTGGCAGCATTGAGGAGAAGGAGACCTGAGTCAAGTTAGGACTTGACTGGACATATGGGAAAGGAGAAGGAAGATGACTAATGTTTAAGGAGAAGATGATGTAATTGTTTTTGCAAGGTTCCGACTCCCAAACTCACTAGCAGAGTATGTCATTTGTGAGGAATTCTGGGTGAAAATATTAAACTTTAGCCTAAAACTCTTCTTTATTCTTTTTACTTTCACTTGCTCACCACATTTTCAGAAGTTAACTCTTGCAATTCATTTACAAATCCAGCTTTTGATAAAATTACTGGATATCTTACATATCTCTTTCAGACATCCCAATTTTGTAGTCATTTAAATATTCTTTTAAATTATTCCAAAAATAGCATAGTGGGGAAAAATGTGTTTAAAAATTTTTTTTCAGTCATGTGTTTTAAATTTGTATTTAACCGTTCAGAGTTTTGCTCTGAGCAGAATCAAACCAGTGTGAAATATCCAGTCATATATCAAAGGGGAAGAGAGTGAATTATTTAAAAGTGCTCCAGTTTAAGTAGTGGATAATATCTCCTAATGCCATTGAATCAAATCACAGATGAAGATAATTATCTAAAGTCAGGTGAGAAATGCCTTTGCATGAATACATTTTGAAAAAGCATTGATGGTTATGAAGATTAGTTCTTATTCTTTATCTCCTACTCCCTATAATTGTGATTTTTAAATTCCAGAATGATGTGGTATCTGGTTTCAGTCAGACAAAGCATAACATACTAGATACTCTTTTGTAAAGGACCAAAAACACATTAACATGGAAAAAAATCTGCATTTTGTTTTTTAAAAGTGAAGAGACATCTTATGGACTGTTTCCTTCTTTAAAAGACCTGGATATATGTAGTCTTTATAGTGTCTTATTTCACATTAAACTTAAAGTAAAAAATAGCCACATGAATATCTTTTTCGGTTGAATTAGGAAGTAAAAGTTAAAAGATTTGACAGCCTGACTATAGATTGGTAATAAGCTCAGATTTTATGTTTGAAATACCATGCATTCAAACAAAGTGGTGTAAAAGCATTTACTGTAAGATTGGTTAGAAAATCTGTCATCGGGTAGTTTAGCTTCATAATCCCAAACTGGTGTATTTGGACAAAATTGTATAGCTCTAAAGATAGAAAGTGCTGCTTGGTACATACAAATGCTGTTCATTGAAAGTAAGATTTACAGTATTGCATTGTCATTACCCTGCTACACTACATTGTCATTTTTTAAAAAATAAATACTTTTGAAACTGAAGCTAAGCATGACTTCAGATATTATATGAGACTCTAGCCTATCTGGCCATGTTATTGGTTAAACATTTATTAATTGTGACAAGAACACCAAATTTATTTCAGTTCTCTGCCTTATTTACTGCTCTTTCACCTTTGTATTTTGTATTGACAAAGGAAAATGAATATTGATAAGTTAGCTATTGATTTCTAAATTTATTGCTTGTTCTCTCCCTTATTCAAAGTCACAAAGCCAAAGATGGTGTGTATATTAGTAACAAAGGATGTAGATTTACTCTTATAAAATTGTGAACTATCGAAGCAAGAAAGTTTGCCAGCACGATGCATTTTATAGTTTGAAAAATGTCATCTGTAAAGGTGAAGAAAAGCAGTGAACAAAATATGAATACTATTAAGTTCCCTTTTATGTAAAAGCTAGTCCACAGCAGCAGCAATGTTTTTAGATTGCATCTTGTATTTTTAGTAAAAATCTCTTTTGGGAAATTTGAGAATAAATTCAATGGGTGGAAAGGGGAGGTGATGGATTTTGTTCATAGTAGCTATGAGATTTTGTTTTACTAATCACAATCAACCTTTTTTCTAACCATTTTCAGTTATGAAACTGACATCCATTAAAGCATAATGCTATTAATATAGATACCTGCCATTGAGGGTGCTATGTGGCTTTTTTAAATACCTGACTGCTCTTGTAGTGGGTGCCATTTCAGTTGTTGAGTGTTCTGAGGAGAAGAGATGACATTATAAACTTTTTACTCCATGCCTAATTTAGATTATATTATAAAATGCCCTTTGTAAAGGCAAAAGTGAACAACATGCTATTTAAAAATAGTTTAAAACTTTCTGAAAATGTATACTTTTAAATGATTCACAAAATCAAGAATTCTCCTTCACAGTTAAGTTCCTAATCCATTTTGAAGATGTGCTCCCATAATTCAAACTTACCTTATAAATTATTATTTTCTTTCTTTTATTGCTAGAATTATATGATCATAAGACAACACAGTACAGATCTCATCCATGCCAGGTTTTAATGTAGGCAAAATCTCCAGGATTCTTTTTTTTTATTCTAGTGTTATTAATTTGATGAAAAATTAATGTTTGACTTGCTTACATAGAATTGACAAATGTATAGTAATTCAGTTCTTGAATCATGTCTACACAAAGATTCTAAATCAACTTTTTTAGCCAAACTTTTTTCTGCTGTATTGGCAGCCAATTCTCTCCAATGAGTGTAGACTATAAAGTGCACTAGAAAAAAAAATAACGAGAATTATAAAATTGAAAACAATCAGCTATGCATATATGTAAGGGAAAAATAATTTAGGCAAATCTTGCCAAAGGCAGATGTCTCAATAAATATGGCTCCTCTCATGTATGATCTTGAGAAAAAAAATGGCTACTTCATGTCAGAGCTCTAGTGAATAAACAGAAGGTTCGGCATAGGCTGACATATACCATAGACTTGAGGAAAGGGGAGGTAGGATGTCATGGCTTGAGGATCTAAAATGGAAGCCAACTGAAAAAAGGATGGGGAAAAACAAATAAAATTCTGATGACACAGTCGCAAATGAATCTCATAGCCATGGAATATCAGAGGTCATCAAGCTTAACCTGTGTCTGAAGAGTAATCTCCTTAACTACATCCCAAAAATGATGACCATCCATTTTCCACTTGAAGGCAGTTTGAGCCTTCATTGCCTCCTGGGGCAGCCCATTTCACTTTTGAATAGCTCTCATCATTGGAAATTCTTCAGCCTACATCAACTTCTTTGCAACTCCCTATTGATCCTAGTTCTGCCTTCTGGGGCCAAGCAGATAAAGTTTTTCTTCCTACTCACAAAAGCTCTTCATTTGCTGAAAGGCAGCTAGTATCTCCTCACACTAACCCACATATATCATATTCTCTTCTTATCCCTAAATATCCCTAGGTCTTCTATCCAATATTTATAGTATGATCTCCTCTGTCCTCATTATCCTCATTACTTTCCTCTGGACCTACTCCAATTTGTCACTGCCATTTCTAAAACATGGTCCCCAAAGTGGAACACAGTGCTACACAATGCCATCACCTCCTTTTTGGTCACTGCCTCTCGGTGCAACTGCTACATTATTG